GAAGCCGCCGGCTTGGAGGAAAAGTCTGCGTCAATTGCAGCGTATACCAGCTGCAATTGATCTTGGGCTGAAATAGAGAAATACGATGATCACGAATCCTATTTCATACATTACGAGGAGAGCCCGCGGAGGTAGTTTAGTCTTAAAATGTTATTTCCTTTTCCTGACAATAACAAACCCAACAAAAAAATAGCAAAATTGGTTCAGCTGTACACCAGAATTGATTTATTTTTTATTTATTTCAATTAAATAGTATAACGTAAGTATATTGTAGTGTAGTATAGTGTAACGTTACGTAAGGCGTTATTCTTTATTCTGCCCTCGATTCATTTTTATATTATAGACATGTTACACAATCTCATCACCAATCTAATACTTACAGAAAAGAGCAGCTACGTCGATTTCCTCCGTCTCCTCTGGTTGTGACGGTGGAGGCAACAGGTTTGGCAGTTTGCGTTTCCGTTTCTGAAAATTAAAGGTTTTTAACAAAACGAAACAATTACTTAACCAAAGGTGCGCGAAAAAATATAAAATAAATGAAGTGAGTGTATCTTACATTAGGTTCATCCAGCTCCACCTCCTCTTTGCCACCGCTTCTGTATTCTAAACCTAACCTCTCCACACAACTGGCAACTGTAACAAGACACAAATGTTAAGGAACTCATTTACGTGAACAAACACCGTAATAATATTAATACATTCTTAGACACTTACGTTGGGCCTTCAATTTTTTATTAATTTCCCTTAATTTTTGTTCTTCTTTTGCTGTGCTGACTGCCGTCACAGCCAATCTTAGGAGATCACCCAGCGATATCTAGAACAAAATAAAGAAATTAAGACTCTTAAAATATTTCAGCTCATCTCAAAAATAATACCTATTGCATTGTTGTTAAAACTTACATTCGATGCGCACCCTAAAACCGTAATAAGTTCCTCTGTGGCCTTGGAGATGTTTTCACGCCGCTCCCGTTCATAGAAAGCGTTGCGTGCACGTCTTTCTTGCTGAAGGCAAAACACATTATATTAATATACAGTTGTTCAGTCACAAAGGGTATGTAGGATAAATAAGTATTGCTTGTAATACTTGTTTTATACGAACCAGCGACAGAGGAGTTCGGTTTGCGCCGCTAGGTCTGCCGCGTTTTGGTCGGGGTGTCGCTGGGGCTCCTGATTGTTGGCTCAGGCTCTTTGACACCTTGAAGGAATCCATTATGGTTGTAAAATATACAGTAGTGTAGTGGAACTCGCTGCACTTGCAGTGGTTAACACTTGGAAGCGAACTAAGTTATGGGTGCAAAATTCATGCTGCCTGCGCGTACACAAGGGTGGTCGGCCGAATGGAGTGGGCATGGGGAAACGTTTAGGGTCTGTGATTGGTCGAAAGGTTCACATTGTTTCAATTGAATACCTGTTCTTGTGTAAGGACAATAGGTGGATTAGAAAACAATGTAAGTTGTAAAATACTAGACTGAAAAATAATAATTTTACAAAGTCCTAAAGAATGAGTTTTTTTAGTAAGTATGAAATTTATGAATAATACCTTTATTTGATTGTTCACTTAAAATCTGTTATTATTAAACCTCCGAAGTAGGTCTATATGAGGACTTGGTATAGATGATGATGGTGGACACCGGGGCAGGTTTAGTAAGGTAAGAATCCCACACTCTCCAATCTTTTTATCTAAGTAACCTTTCTTCAGCTGACAAAGCTAGGCGCCTTTGTAAAGTAACTCGTAACCAAAAAAAAGCTGTGCGTAAAGACTAAGCTCAACCTGACTATCAACTGTATAACACACACAAATTAGGAACGAACCAAAATAAAAATCCTTTTAAAACAATCTACTAGACGAACATTAGAATCATCTACCATATTACAATAATATTAACAAAAATGTACTTCCAATATCATTCTTACGACACATGAAATAAATGTCAAGTATTAAAGCTGATTCGGCATCCGGGTCAAATATTGAAATATAGAATCGTCGGCTTTATACTTTGATGTTTTTCTGAATTTCAAGGTGAAATGCAAATTCATTTCTATGGCTATTATTATTAGAATACGGTTTGTGTAACTTAACAATTAAAACAAAGGGACAGTATGTTCACTGACTATTTGCGGCGATTGTTCATCTTTACCTTTTTTTATAGCGCTACAGTAACTCGATAGATTTAAACCTGGACAGTAACCATAAAATTGTTAAAGCTTGTAACGAAATAAATAAATAATTATGTGATGAATGAATTCCTGTTGTAATTTGATACAATTTAATCTTTATTTACCTACCTATTCTAATTATAAATAATGTTGTTTTAAATCATGAGATTTTTTCTGTTTTTTTAATTGACCATGAATGTTGTCATGGTATTTAGTATTTTTTATGGCATGTAAACGAGCTGACGGATCACCTGATGGTAAGCAATCGACGTCGCCCAAGGACACCTGGAACACCAGAGGCGTTACAAGTGCGTTATCGGTGTTTTGGGGATTAGGAGTTTGAGGATCGTTGGGGATTCAGCGATTGGGGAGATTAGGGTAGAGGAGGGTAAAATGGCCTCCGGTAACCTCACTCATTTCTCCTGTTATTCCAATTATGAGTTCACCTTAAATAGTTTTGTGTTTATAGAAAACTAACATTTGTCTGCGACTTCGTCCGCGCATTAATAACAGACATCAAGCAGAGAGTCCCCTTTCCAAGGCTTATTTCTATGTATGATATTAAATTTCAATCAAGTCAGTACTTTTGGATTCCTTTACTGTGAACGATAACGTGGTTCAAAATACATAATTATATTTATTTATTTATTTTTCAACTTCATACAACAAATGTGTACAGGTGGACTTAATGCCTTGGGCATTGTTTCCCATAGTTCTAAATAAAATATTATAGTTTTAAATTTTACGCACGTAGGTCTCGTTTCCCATATTTAATTGTAATTAATATTTTCTTATAACTTATTTCAATAATGTAAGTAATAAATAATAAATTGTATTTGTAATTTTCACAATAAGTATTGCATGCTAAATGGCAGAATGTAGCTGATCAAATTATTTTATAATAACTACTGTAACATCTACAATTGACCTATATTCGCAATAAACGAACAAACGATTTGAATTTGAATCCCAAGTGTGGGAGAGACATGCTTCGGCACGAATTGGCCGACTCGACCGGAGTGATACCACAGCCTCACAGAAAACCGACGTGAAACACCACTTGCGTTGTGTTTTGTCGTGTGTGTGAGCTTACCGGAGGCCCAATTACCCCCCTTCCCTAGTGCCCGTCTCCCGAATCCCCGAATTCTCCACAATCCTCAAATTCCCAATTCCCAAAAGGCCGGTAACGCACTTGTAACGCCGTCGAGTGTCCGAGTGGTGTTTCGAGTGTCCATGGGCGGTGCCGATTGCTTACCATCAGGTGATCCGCCTGCTTGTTTACCGGCTTATGTTATAAAAACAAATCCCTTTTGTCGAATCCTAAACCTATCGAGTCCTAAATATCTGTACTAGATAACCTTGAACTACAATACAATTTTTAGATCAATTAAACCTTGACCACTCTGCGCTAGCCGATTTTGACATGCGTCATACTGGATGCGGCGAGAAATTATAAAATGTCACAAAATGTAGAAATTATCATCAACTTTCAATTAACAATTTTCATTAATAAGATAGTTAGGTTACTTTATTGGAAATATCTTTAATTGCGTATTGGTTATCATGTTACATTAATAATATCGTTCAAAATTAGTACAAAATCGATACAATTTAGACCTATCGAAAAAGTATATGACTTAAATTTAGTTTTAAGCATTAAGCACAAAAACACCAATGTTTTTTTATAATGTTGTGTGCGCCATTGTAACATCATAATGACAGTTCTTAGTTTTACTGGTTTTAGTGGCGGTCCTCAAGAACGCGTAAGTTTACTCAAACAAACACAATAAATAATAAATTGATATTTAAAAATAATGTTTGGTTTTCCACTTATTTTGTGCCTCCAAAACTAAATTACTCAGCTTATACTGTTCTGCAGGAATAGTTTCCTGTATTTTTGTGATAGGACGAAGTTGCGGGAATCTTATTCGCGTATTGATTTGACTATTATTATTTTTCTTTTATAAACTCAACTCCACTGTAGCATCAACAACTTGCAGAATATAAAGGCCAGAAACAGAGATTATTAAGGAAACAACTTGGTATCGATAATACAGAATATTATTTTCTTCCAAAGCACATTTATAACAAAGATACAAATATTACATCTCTTCTCGTCAATAGTCCCCCCAACAGAATGCCGCCATCCGTTCAAAATCCCATTCGTTTTCCCGCCTTTTTCGACCGCCCCGTCTCGAAATCATCCGATAACGTTTCGAGAATTCAATCCCGTTCTATTTTTCAAACCCGCGATCTCGATGTCATCAGATGACATTTCGAGAATCCAAGTCCGTTTTATTTTTATATGTTTGTTTATGGTCAATCACAAAGAAGTTTAGTCTATTACACAATAAAAATACAAATTAAATAATTAAATTAAATCATAATATTAATGAACCACACTTTTTAAATGCAATTCTCTAATGTTAAGACAGTGTAATGTTTATAAATGATGCCATAGAAAACAAGAATAGAGCATGCAAGTCTCGCGAGATCGGGACTCAAACGAGATCTATATCTCGTTAAGAATATAAAATGACAATCTCGTGAGATCGCGCTGATTCGAAATGACAGTTTATTATGTTATGTTGCAAAATACTAAAAATATTTGAATTAATTAGAAAAAATAGTAAGACTATAAAAACAACATACATTTTTACGATTTTTGTCTCGGATATTGGAACAAAAGAATTACCATCACTACCACAAATTCTATTTTATCAAATACCAATATGACGAAAGAGACAACAGTATTTACTGCAAAACGATCGAACATATGACATAATATACAATACTCACATAAAATCCGGCTAAATCCTCGTCCTTGATGGTGTTGGAGACGGTCATGGCGGTGGCTGCAGCACCTCTGCCGGTGGTGAAGCCGCCGTGGAGGAAATGTCTGCGTCAATTGCAGCGTATACCAGCTGCAATTGATCTTGGGCTGATATAGAAAAATACATTACTAGGGGAGCCCGCGAAGGTAGTTTAGCCTTAAAATGTTATTTCCTTTTTCTGACAATAACAAACCCAACAAAAAAAAAAAGCGAAATCGGTTCAGCTGCACTCGAGATTTGATTTATTCTACACTCGATTCATTTTTGTGTTATACGATTCATCTTTTTACTAATCTAATACTTACAGAAAAGAGCAGCTACGTCAATTTCCTCCGTCTCCTCTGGTTGTGGCGGTGGAGGCAACAGATTTGGCAGTTTGCGTTTTCGTTTCTGAAAATTGAAAGAAGTTGAACAAAACGAAACAATTACTTAACAAAAATATAAAATAAATGAAGTGAATGTATCTTACATTAGGATCATCCAGCTCCACCTCCTCTTTGCCACCGCTTCTGTATTCTAAACCTAACCTCTCCACACAACTGGCAACTGTAACAAGACACAAATGTTAAGGAACTTATTTACGTGAACAAACACCATAAAAATATTAATACATTCTTAGACACTTACGTTGGGCCTTCAATTTCTTATTTATTTCCCTCAATTTTTGTTCTTCTTTTGCTGTGCTGACTGCCGTCAAAGCCAATCCCAGGAGCTCACCCAGCGATATCTAGAACAAAATAAAGAAATTAAGACATTACTCTTAAAATATTTCAGCTCATCTCAAAAATAATACCTATTGCATTGTTGTTAAAACTTACATTCGATGCGCACCCTAAAACCGTAATAAGTTCCTCTGTGGCATTGGCGATGTTTTCACGCCGCTCCCGTTCATAGAAAGCGTTGCGCGCACGTCTTTCGTGCTGAAGGCAAAACACATTATATTAATATACAGTTGTTCAGTCACAATGGGTATGTAGGATAAATAAGTATTGCTTGTAATACTTGTTTTATACGAACCAGCGACAGAGGAGTTCGGTTTGCGCCGCTAGGTCTGCCGCGTTTTGGTCGGGGTGTCGCTGGGGCTCCTGATTGTTGGCTCAGGCTCTTTGATACCTTGAAAGAATCCATTATGGTTGTAAAATATACAGTAGTGTAGTGGAACTCGCTGCACTTGCAGTGGTTAACACTTGGAAGCGAACTAAGTTATGGGTGCAAAATTCATGCTGCCTGCGCGTACACAAGGGTGGTCGGCCGAATGGAGTGGGCATGGAAAAACGTTTAGGGTCTGTGATTGGTCGAAAGGTTCACATTGTTTCAATTGAATACCTGTTCTTGTGTAAGGACAATAGGTGGATTAGAAAACAATGTAAGTTGTAAAATACTAGACTGAAAAATAATAATTTTACAAAGTCCTAAAGAATGAGTTTTTTTAGAAAGTATGAAATTTATGAATAATATACCTTTATTTGATTGTTCACTTAAAATCCGTTATTATTAAACCTCCGAAGTAGGTCTATATGAGGACTTGGTATAGATGATGATGGTGGACACCGGGGCAGGTTTAGTAAGGTAAGAATCCCACACTCTCCAATCTTTTTATCCAAGTACCCTTCCTTCAGCTGACAAAGCTAGGTGCCTTTGTAAAGTAACTCGTAACCAAAAAAAGCTACTGCTGTGCGTAAAGACTAAGCTCCATCTGAACTATCAACTATAGGTATAACAAAATCCAAAACATATGACGAACGAAATACGAACCAAAATAAAAATCCTTATCTAATGTTTAAAAACAATCTAAGGTACTAGACGAACATTAGAATTAGAATCATCTACCCTATTACAATAATATTAACAAAAATGTACTTCCAATATCATTCTTACGACACATAAAATAAATGACAAGTATTAACTCGTCGAGTACCGGTTTTATAGACACAATTAAAGAACAATAGGTCGCGGTCACCGGTGACCGCTTGGTGTTTGACAGTTTAAAGCTGATTCGGCATCCGGGTCAAATATTTAAATATAGAATCGTCGGCTTTCTACTTTGATCTTTTTCTGAATTTCAAGGTGAAATGCAAATTCATTTCTATGGCTATTATTATTATTAGAATACGGTTTGTGTAACTTAACAATTAAAAAAAAGGGACAGTATGTTCACTGACTATTTGCGGCGATTGTTCATCTTTACCTTCTTTTATAGCGCTACAGTAACTCGATAGATTTAAACCGGGACAGTATCCATAACATTGTTAAAGCTTGTAAAGAAATAAATAAATAAATAAATAATTATGTGATTAATGATTTCCTATTGCAATTTGATACAATTTAAACCTTTTTTACCTACCTACATTTGTTTTTTTTTTATTCATCATGAAAGTTGTCATAATGTTAAGTATTTCTTCTGTTATTCCAATTATGTTATTCCAGTTTTGTGTTTATAGGAAATTTGTATTTGTGTTTAATACATAATTTAAATTTAGTACTTTATTTGATTATTACACTAGAAAATGTATATTGCACCGATTTGTTGTAATATGATGTTTTAAGTCTTTGACTGACCCCCTAAATAAATAAAAAATAAAATATGGCGATGGTAGCAATAAAGCACACGGCCCATCTGATGGTACGTGGTTACCGTACTCTACGAACGATTGCCTTTACGATTACTACCCACTAGTAACGACAACGTTTCTTCTCTATGGCACTGTAATAAGGATTAAACAATGGCGAACATAAAAAAGGGTCGCGGTAGCGCTTTCAAATGTTATCTATTTGTTGTAAAATTCCTTTCCTATTATTATAACATTATGTAAGCATCACAATGATACTTTAAGGAGTAAGCTCATCGCCGCACATACTTTCAAGGTACAAGGAACCTAACCCAAGGAACGTACTGCTAAGGAGTGGAATTCTTTACAAGAATCTATATTTTCTACCTTGGTGTCTTCATGGTCCCGAATGAATGAACACGGACACGCGTCGCGTTTCAGCTGCTTGTATGAATTGCTTGACAACGTGGGTCTACGTTGCCACTGGAGTACATGAAGACAACTCCACGGACGGCACGGAGAGGTTACGCACATACATATTGGTAATTGCGCTGCGAGTTGTGCGCAGTCGTGGATAATATTCACTTCAGTGGAAACGTAGACCCACATTGACTGCGTTAAACTATGTAACCGCCTATTTGAGCAAGTCACACATATTTTATCAATGACGTCAATTTATGCATAGCCCCTCCGTAGGTTGCAGTGAATACAACTTTTTTTTTATAGGACAATCGGCCGCAACCTCCCAAAACCGCTGCTGTCCTTGCAGTGAATACAACTACTTACATTTTATTACAAAACGAAATACGTAGTCTATCAGTACGCCGCGGTGGGACCGCGCCATTTTGTAAGACTAAAATGAGATCTGCAATACTTTCATTTTGTCGACAATAGGTTCTCTTAACACTAAAATCTTGTTATAATTACTTCGATAAACGATAACTTACCCATAATACTATATATTTCGACGACAGCTCCGCAACCAAAACTATGGAGGAGACCAGCATGGATACAAAGTATCTTCGCCAAGTTATTTTATTTTCTACCTGCTTAAAAAGTTATCACAGATTTATAACTAGTCTTTGTTCAAATGAAATGATATGTGTGTTCTGCGGGTAGATGAACAATTTGAATGTCTGACATTAGTGCAGAGTCACCGTGTACCACTTTACTGGTTTTAATCTATGGTTTCATTTGCGCGCCATATGGATAGGAAACTATATATTATACTAGCTGTTGCTCGCGACTTCGGCTGCGTAGAATATGAATTTTAAGACATATTTTTTTGTTTCAATTTTCCAAAATAAAGTAGTCTAGGTTACTCCTTAGTACATCAGCTAACTGCCAATAAAAGTTCCGTCATAATCGGTCCACACATTCCAGAGATTAGTCAGTACACAAAAAACAGACGGTCAAAAATTGTAAAAAAAATGTTATTATGCATGTAGTAAAAAGCGGTTATTTTATTTATCTGTATAGATTTTTTTACCTTAATATTTGACATATGTAGATACAAAAAGTGCTGCTTGATATATATATATATATATAGTTATATTTATTTTTTTAAGGAGGGAAAATCATCGAATGACTTCTCCCGCCTGGGTGAGGCGGGAGGGAGTGACTCTTATGACTAAAAACCACCCCGTTCCTTCTCCTGCACGTTGAGCCGGAGCTCCGGTAACCCGATAGGTTCTCCGCGACTGATAGTTATATTACTAAGCACTGGTAAAAGACTCGGTAGCATTGATACAATTTAAAATATCGAGTGGTGCCTTCTTTCGATAGCCAATCCTTAATGAGATTTTATTTAGCTTGATGATATGATTAGCTCAAGATGATAATATGAGTTACAAAATAAAAGTTATAACGTTATTCTTTTTATCGATATTATTTATATGTGTTACCAGTATAATATCGATACTTTTTATCTTTCACTACACAATCATCACTACTCGAGACGCGAGTGAGCGAAATGGCACTATAGATGCGATGTGAAGACGCATAAAAACGTGATGACACTCATGCGCCGCCGTCATTGTTTTGAAAACCATAGCCGTCGCGAGTTTCCTGAACCCGTGTCTGTTTGAGTCTTCCTCTTGCCGGTACTTGGAACTTTAACTCTGAACAATTTACCTCCTCACGAGACCAGGACCAGGAAACAAAGATGTTTAACACCAACATACAGTTGATAAAGGAAACCTATCAAGCTTTCCTACCATTGTTCTCGAAGAAACTAGAAAGAATGGTGGAGTTTGAAAATACTGGCCAATATCAAATCGGATGAAAGCAAATTCTACTTGATCTTCCAGAACATTCGAATTTGAAGATATTATATGTCTGTTCGTCACGATAATAAAGCTAAAACGACAACTTCTAAATCATTCATGGCGTCAAGCGAGAAGAGAGTAAAAGTTTGGAAAACATCACAGGTCTATCGTTATCTTCTGCTTACTAACCGAAGAAGAATAATATTAGGCAAACGGGATATATAATTTGGCAAGAAAATACCTCCCAGCGCAAGTCTCATCAATGCTTCAAGAAAGAAGGTAGGTGAAACTATACAATAATAATATATAAGGTTAAATTTAATTAAATGATTTAATTTGTAATCATTCTAAAATATGGCAATCCAAGTGGTAACGACTCATTTATTTATGGGATAGAATGACAAAATAGTGTATAGATCACCTAACGGTAAGCAATCGGCGCTATCCATGGACAATGCCAACTCACAATGCCAGAGGAATAATAAGTGCTTTGCCAACCTTAAAGATTGATGAAGTGAAAGAGGTATGTAGGAATCGTAGGCAATTGGCGTTCGATAGTCTCTGCCTACCCATGGAAGAAAGTTATGTTTGTATGTATTGCCAACCTTTTGGGGGTGGTTTTATATAATCCATGGATTTGCTGTGATTTATTTCGGTTGCATCGAGTTATTTCTTCTTTTATAATCACTTAACTGCAAGAGTTCGCAACCCGTAGCGTTCAACCCGTTCGTACCCATAGCCCCTCAATTTTTCACGACTAGTTTCCTTGCGAGAATCGTTGCTACGTTGCTCAACAGCCAATCATCAAAGCGAGTACCGCATATATAACTTTTTCTATTATCCTTAACAATCAATCCCTAATAATACAGGTGAGAGGTATTTATTTTCTTATTTTTCATATTTTTTTTATTCTTTGCAGAAGTGCACGCCTCGTCACAGCTTCAATTTTTGTTTGTTTATGAGGGTAATTCACCAAGTTACTCCCGCCGCCCGAATACATGAATAAATGGAATTTATTACAGAATATCATAATGATTATTATGATAGGTAGGTACTTTAAAAACAATCATTTAATTTGTTTCTAACTAGTTTCTGAATGAAACTATGACCGCGTAGAATTAGACTTAGATTTTAGGCAGATTTTTTTTTCTTTCTATTTCTAAGACAAATTATTCCCGATATGTTGCCCAGGCATATTCACGATACCTACCCCAAAAAGATACATTCACATGCATAAAAATACTTTTAAATAATTAATTACTGGTTTTGAAATATCTGACCTTCTTTCTTTCACTTCCATATTAGCGAAATGTGGGTGTTACATTCCATATAGGTTTTATATATGTGCACATCTGTGTGGCACTTTTCTTTAATTTCACATTAAAAGTTTTTATTAAATTATAATAACTGTTATTAAAGATGAGTTTGAGCTACAATACAAATATAAGTTTGACCTCATTCGATAATTACGTATATTTTTTTAAATTATGGATTTATTTATTCATTACTAGCTTTTACCCGCGGCTTCGCTCGCGTCACAAAAGGATAAAAAGTAGCCTATGTGACATATATCAATACACACAGCGCCATCTATACCAATAATTTCGTTTTCCCTCGAGAATATCAATTTTTCCGGGATAACAAGTACTTATTATTAACTCGTCGAGTACCGGTTTTATAGACACAATTAAAGAACAATAGGTCGCGGTCACCGGTGACCGCTTGGTGTTTGACAGTTTAAATTATTTAATCCAGACTTCTAACTTCACATCTGCAAAAATTAAAAGCAATCGGTTTAGTTGTACGGCGTGAACGTGGAACAAACAAACAAACAAACTCACTTTCCGATTTATAATATTAGTAAGGATTGAATAATTGTTTTTACATTGCAGAAAAAATCAATTGGATGTCCATCGACGTACCTACGTATGAAATCATCGCTACAACTTATTTCGAAGATCCTGTGCCTACTGAAAGAATACTGCTGGTTGGAGACACCTCACTACTGATACAACAAGGAAGAAACGAAGAATCACAACATGGGAGAGGTTTGGTTTCAGTTTAAAAATGAGTTAATGTCATCATGCTCTTAAACTCTTAACTACGTTTAACTTACAAAGAGTAATTTTAAATATTTTTACATATTTCAATAGATTACTTATGTACATAACTAAATCTCTCGCTAAAAAGGTATACAGAGATTTAACACATAAAAAAATATATTAGACAGTTCCAATCTTAAAAATTCTTAATTATTATTATCAGAAGGAAACTTAAATAATCTACACACAATCAGATATAGTAAAGTACCGTCATTCGACATTATCTAGGTACTAAGTACAATTATTTCGTTTACCTTCTTAATCTTAAATCTTAATACTTTCTAAGATTATTTAGACACCACTGACAGACGGTGAAGGAAAACATCGTCAGGAAAACTGGGCGTATAATTTTTAATTGTTTGAAATTGCCAACCCGCATTGAGCAAGCGTAGTGGTTAATGCTCAAATCTTCGTATGAGAAGAGGTTTTATATAATAAATGGTAGTTAAACAATAAACACGGGGTCGTTGTCTTTTATCCGGGACACAAAATTATTTAGTACACTTTTTTATGTTGCTGTTTCACAACCCAATCTTTTTGACGTCTGAATACTGAAAGGGTAAATATATAAATAACCTCGCGCCTGTCTCCCATGGAACACACTATAAAACGTCAATTGTTTTAAGCTGTATGTCCTTAAACATCGTGCCGTCTCTGTCATTTTACATAGAATTTGTGGAGACAGAACTATACTTAAGCACGACTTAAAATTGAGTAACGTTTGAGTATTTGGACATAAGAAACGTTTTGGATTTATCTTTAACTAGCTTCTGCCCGCGACTTCGTACGCGCAATTCTGTTTTCTCCCGTCCCCGTAGGACCTTTTTCTGTCATAAGAACCTTCTGACAATAATAAACACAACAAAAAAAATCAGCCAAATCGGTCTAGACGTTCTCAAGTTATGGCGTGACACCTGGAAACGGGTTTCATTTTTTATATAGATAGATTAACATTCTTTTTATTATTATGTTTTCGTCGTAATACAAAGTCATGGAACTTAAGCCATTGTCACAATCTGCAGATTTAGTCCTATTATCGTTACAAGGAATATTATTATTCGAAGTTATTGACCACTTGTTAAATTCAATACTTTTATTGAAATTACAAAAACGTTTGAAAATGTTTCATTTTTATGATCGCAATTTATGACGTCATTTTTACATC